TTTTGACCAATATATTGGTTCTTCAACAGCCTCCCATGGCAGGGTCTAAAAGCTGCCACAAAGAAGCAAAAGTATGACAAAATATGTCAAAAGAAGTTATCAACTCCTATTGAGGCACGTGTACACTGAATAGCTTCCCTAGCCACTGCTCATTTTGTCTTTTTTTTTAAAACAGTATTTTAAGGTTCTTATTCTGACTCTTTGTACTGTTTATTGGTGAAGGTTTTATGCAAGTCTCATCCTGTTGAGTTTGCTTCGTATTTCCATTACTGTCATTCGTTGACATTTGATCAGCGGCCTGATTATGGATTTTTAAAGCGCCTATTCCGTGAGCTTTTTACCCGTCAAGGTATGTGTAAGTTAAGCTCATCAAGTCCTTGGACTATACCATTGTTCTCTGTTAAAATATCCTACTGAGCTGATTACACAAAAGTCCGTTGGCAGAAGTTCAACTGACGTGCTTCTATGTGTCATGCAGGATATGAATTTGATTACATATTTGATTGGACCATCCTAAAGTACCAACAGGCACAAACAAGTAAACCACAGCACCGGGTATCATTCTTAGCTTGTCATATTTCCTGAATTCATTTTGACTATGATTAGTCACTTCTCAGTTTGATGACCCACAATATTTTGAGCTTCTACAATTCTTCTTGTTGCTTGCTTAAATAAATATTTCCGTTTCAACGGGCTGAATAATACAGTTTTTTAGTCAAGGATAGCTGCATGAGCTAGGTTTTATCAAAGTTTTGATTCTTTCCTTAACCTTTTTTGAACTAGCGCTGTTATTTTTGCAGCAAGTTGTCGGTGAGAGCAGCCGGGCAATTCCAATGGATGTTGAAAAGCGTCAAGGTTAGTAACTGAATCTCTTATCATTTCGTGATTGTGGCTTGCATTCTCTGGATTCTACCAGCACAAAATACTTTCCGTATTCTGGGTTGAGTGGTTATAACCCATCATTAAAGTGTAAAGGACTGGCAGATAAATTAAAGATAGAAGTATGCTAGTGGAGACATACTTGTATTTTTTGGATGTCAAGTCACTTTCTGTTGCTGTAATAAGGTTGCTGAGCTGTTCCTTCTACAGTTTCTACAGGCAACAATGGACCTTATGTTACTGAGGTGACTGATCGCATAAGACCGAACAATCCTTCCAGTCCTGGAATTCGTATGCAATTTAAGTCACCAACTAACAGGAATTTAACTTCTGCCAATCTTGAGAGAAATGTAAGTAATACTTTTTCATAGCCTTGTTTCAGATAAAGTTTTCTTCGCTTTTAGCATTGTCTGTTTACCATGTCTTGTTATTATTCTTCCTTCTAATATCTCTGCCCAAGTAGGCTTCTCATTAACTTCCATTTCATCTTGTAGGTACTAAGTAGTGCACACATGCCATCTACTTCATTAGCTCCTGTTTTACCTAGAGCAAACGCCACAAAACCTGCATTGCCTGCTGAAACAACTCATGATGGTGATAATGGCAGCAGCTGGATTTCCTCCTTGCGACGTATTTCTTCTGCAAAGTGATAAATAGGTACTCTTCTTGCTCTACTCTTTTCGTGTGTCTTTGCTTTGGGGACGGGTGGCATATTCCTGGACATCGCAATTGTGATTGTGGACAAGAAGCATTTTGATTCATGATAACAAGATCCTTTCTTTCCTTTTCAGGATTAAGATGAAGGTGAGGCTAATGTGCCGTCCAATTAGGCAGCTCATCCTTATTCTGTGATTATAAGCTTGTATGGATGATTCGGGTGGCTGATCATGGTCTGCTCCCTGATTTTCGCAATTTCACAAGCTGAAGAGGGTGTGGACTGAGCTGGACATGAAAGCAGATGGCAGCAGCTGTTTGTCTTTCTTTGGGAGCTCGGGTTAGATATTTTTCCTAAGATGACTATAAACGAATTGGTCCATCCTTGCATTAAGATCAGGGTGGCTCCTGTCCGCTGAAAAATGAAGCACTAGCGACATCTTATGTCTCTTTTTCCATGTAAAATAGATCATATGTGATTTCTCAAAAATTGTGCAGTTCCTTTGTGCATACATGGGTGGTTATTTTCTTCACTTGATTCATTACTCGCAAAGTTGCATGTGTTGTAATCTTTATCGCTTAATTTTGTGGTGAGCTAATGAATTGTTACAAACATGTTGGTAATGGGATTGTATCTCAGAAATTTTGAGAAGTTTGGAAATGTGATATATCAAAGGCAGCACTTCCTGTGTTCTCATCAGGAGTGTAAAGTTGTGATGTAAAATTTGATTTATGGACTTCTCTTTCTCCACCACCCATCCCACTCTTACGTTTAAGTCTAATTGTTTTTTTGAACCCTGTTGCCATCTGGTCAAAATAGGTGAGCTTGTCACCAGGTAATGTTATATTGCTAGTTTTGATTTGGTAATTTCCTGTGAGTTGATAGAGTCTGATAGTAGCTTTTTTACATCTTTATGTTTCTATAATGTTCTAAGTTTTGGTTAAAGATGATTCCTCTATTGACAATAGGCAATTTTGACCGCCCAAATACCTTGGTGCATAGACTTACACCTGGACTGTGACTAGCCTTCAAAATATTCGGTTTACAGCAAGTCTGACCAAAGAATATTGTTCGTGGGCTATTTTGATCAAGTTATTTGCAATCAGCTTCTCAATTATGAGTCATACTTTTGCAATGTGCAGGATTTCCATTTGAAGATGATATGCTATGAGATGTGGTTTCAATCGGAGTCCTGGCTTCCTTGGATTTGATCAAGTTCAGAAGAGCTGGAAGTAGTGATTGCATAATTTCGTTGGTTTTGCGATTGATCAAGTATGTAATGGACAAGTATCCACCGGTACCATTTCATTAAACAAGTCGAATGGTTCCTTCGACGGGATGATAGCTCTGGGTACCTTGCTGCCGGAGCTTTTATTCCTTCTCTCGAATGTCTTGCGAAAGCCAGACTTGCTAGGCTCGAGAGGAAGTTACATTGACAAACTGTACTGTATGCCTTCTCAAGTGTGATCCGGTAATATCTGCTATAACCAAGCAGCTTATTAAAACTGCTGCAGAAGAAAAACTATGGTCCTTTTAATTGGCTTGAGCTGAATATCAGGTCCTCCTTGATTTGTCAGGACCTGAACTCGGAGCTTCAACATCCAAATTTTGTGCTGATTTCATTTTCAGCAAGGTTGTGGTACCCCTGCTGTGCTCCAACATAGTGCTGGAGAAATAATTGATTACACGTTTTAAGTGCCAGGATAAATAAAAATCAGTAACCGGCTGTCGAGTGGTGAAATCTTCGTCTCTTTATTTGCATAAAGTGAGTAGTTGTGGCTTGTCCCTGCCCGCTCATTTCTACAGTTTCACCATTTCTACTTGTTTCTGC